ACCTGCGGTTAGCAAATCAAGTAAAGAGTAATAAGAGATTCACACGGGATTTTAACTGTATGCTGCTTGATGGGAATAGCATTGCCTATAATTTCTCTCACAAAATAACAATAAAGGGATGGTTCTATATAAAAATTTGAAGTTTTTATGCTGAGGAGCACAGTGCATTATCAGTCTGTAAGCTGACGTATATATAAGTACACAGACAACTCATTTTTGTCATGCCATTTCAGTTTCTCAGCCTCTCTGTTTCAGAGTTTTTACTTTGAAAGCATACTTCTACAAGAAAATAGTCCCACAACCTCAGTTTGTTAGATTAGCTGTACAAACACAAAAATTTATCATGAATGGTAGTAAATTTTCATCTCATACAGCATTAGACTCTAATAAAAACAGCATAAATTCAGGCAGGCATTTTGCAGTCACTGACCATTTGATGTCTTTTTTGAACTTAAATATACGTTATTTATTCATCTTCTGTGCATAGCAAGAAATTACTGCAGATATCTCAGAGCACAAAACTCCAATGGAATAATGAAACAAGAGTGTTTCCAAACCATACTTTTAACTGCAGCAGAAAAAGAAAAAGCAACAAACCTACCCAACACCAAAATATAATACTGTATGTTGACAGTTCTGCACTGAAGAACTTTCTGTTCTTTAGGGTTATGAGTAAAGCACTCTCATTCCTTTTTTATTAAGCAAGCCTCTTTTTGTTTCGCATCAAAACCGATTGCTACCATAGCTGTATAATAAAACTAGAGAATACAGCACGCCCACCTTTCTCCATTTACAGAATATTTTTTATGATCAGCCCTACTCCTAGCCAAGGATGACAACACACCTTAATACAACAAATGAGGTACCTTAGTCAGGGTATGTGATGTTTATGCCTACTTTACAAGAAAAGGGAAAGTCGAGGGAGAGACATACAACAACTCTCCTGCTATCACATAGCCATCAGATTTGCCGTGTGGAAGGCAGCACGCTCCATTCCCATCCTTTGCTTCAAAGCCTGCCCTCCATACCAGAGGTTCAAGCACAAGTGAAAATGATGTAGTTGCACTCAGAGAAAACACAGTTTAAGTCAGTGAGAAAGCAGAGGGATGAAGAGTTCTGTGTCCTTTTCAAGGTAATTGATGTGCTGTAAACAAAGATGATTGAAATCCTAGGTCTGAATAGACACATGGATGTTAACTGTAGGCAAACAGGGAAATATCTTTGATGATTCATTTTGCGTCTGTATTACTGGCAAAGCTTTATTGTGTTTTCAAAGATACAAAGTATCTTTACAGATCTAAGGGAGTGTATAAAGGGAAAAATCCATAGGTAAAAGATTGTTTTTAAAGTCTTAAAAATATCAGAATGCCAAGATTTATCTTCTTTGTTATACTAGGAAATCTGGTGAGAAGGCAAGGAACTGGGACAAGGACCATGTACTACTTAGCTGGTGAAAGTAGTAAAAAAAAAAAATACATAATTTTGTTAATGTTTCCTCCTTCTTATCCCAGTACAAGACTCACACAGATAATCCTGGAAATATTCCCATCCCTGGAAGTCCTCAAAGCCAGGTTGAGTGGGGCTTTGAGCAACCTGGTCTAATGGAAATTGTCCCTGCCTGTAGGGGTTGGAACTAAATGATCTTTAAGGTCCTTTCCAAACAGGGGCCTTCCAAACCAGTTCTCAAGTGGTCAGTCCTGAGGCCACAACAGCACAAACAAGCAGTGGGTAACTGGAATGACTTCTACCAATGTATAAATACCGAGTGCAGCAACACCTTTGCTGGCTGACACCCAGAAGTTCTGATCATTATCTCCCTCACTGAAGCCTAAGTTTCATCTGGCAGTAACAACCTGGTTCAATTTTCTATTCTGCTGCAAAGATAGGGCAGATGATAGTGCTGAAAAACAAGATTAATATGCAGAAGGTCAAATACCAGAGTAAACAACAGTACCCTACACCCTGCAAACTAAACACCAGTACAAGAATACTAAAGTAGAATTCTGTGCTTATTATCATAGCTGCTGCAAACAACAAATCCCTACATCTAAATCAGGGTGCCAGAGAAGCTTAACATGAGGATCTAGCAAAACCAAAATACAAATGATTCAGCTGATGGTTTGGGTAAGGCAAAGAACAAATATCAATCTTTACTCAGAATTTCTCTTCAGCTCATATAGTTCCTGATATATTGACAGCATAACAGAGCAAAGTGACCCAGGGTTTAGCTTGTCTAAGAGCGTATTTTTTTCTCACATGGATCTCCAGTCCCCAGAGCATAATAGCATCTTTTTCTCCACAAGTTTAGAGTTTTCTTTGTGGTTGCAGTGATGAGGAGGATAAATATTTCACACCTTTTTCACAAGAGAGAACAATTTACTTTGTATCTTTCAAAAAAGACAAGCATCCCCCTACACATTGTCAATTTCATGTGTACTATATAAAGAAACTGTTCAAGTGGTTCTTGTTAGAAAAAGCCAAATATAACAATCCCTTTAATTACAAATTTAAAATGCTGAAAGCCTCTGTAGCTAAAGGAGCTAAAATTAATTGTAAACTATTGAGACAATGAGAGAGTCACAATATTTGCCACTTAGAAACAGCTCTCTCCCTGTCTTCCATTAGTAAAACACCAGAAGATAAAAAATACAAGAAAATATGAATTTAATAAAGGAAAAAAAATAGAAGTTCAGATAAAAAAGCCTGTTATAAGGATGAGTGGATGGATTAGCACGAAGAAATCTTAACAATTGCAAAAGTAAATATGTTTTCTTTCCTTGCAAATACCTCCTCACAAGATATTTTACTTGTCCATCTGATAAATTGATTTGCAGTAGTCCCTCATTCCTCTGGAGTCTGCTTAAGTTCACTTATGGCCTGTATAGAGGGTAATATTTGCTGATTTGAAGTCTGTTTCACAAAAAGCAGACACTGAAGGAGTGGTGCTGAGTAATTTCCCAGGTAAATGGCTTTGCATGACTTACAGGTAACAGGTATCTGTCACCACTCAGGCACCTTTGCATAATGTGAAGTAGCTGCAGCAGGGCAGGAATATAGAGTATTATTCTAATTCTACTTAACCCTAAAACTAGCACTACACAATTTAGCTGGCTTCTGACCCAGTATCTCCTCACTCCCATCAATGGCTTCAAACCTGCAGATATTTGCCCTCCAAGGGGCTCCTTGAGTGTGTGTCTAACCATGGGCCGAAATCTTTACCTGTGTTAACAAAACCAAAATTATCTATGAATTTTCATGGGAAAAATTGGAGGCCATTTGAAGAGACTGTGGAGTAGTGCTTGGAGCAAAGAGAGACTATTTCATAACTAAGTCATTTTGTTTGGGCTCAAACTTATAAGTGAAACACAAAAGGGACAGTTACTTTTGCTAGCTAAGTGAAAAAGGCTAAGTTTAAGCAACAGATTTAGTCAAGAACAGAGGCAGGATAATATTTTTAGTCATTTCTATTGAACAAGCAATATGATTGGGAAAATTACACCAGTTTTCAGGTATGCAAGCCTGAAATAGAAACAGCAGCTTTCAAAGCTCCATGCAAACTGAGAAATGCATTGCTCAGATTTTAGCTAGAAGAGTAACTATAAGATCATTTTGTGAGAGCAAAGGTAGTTAGCATCCCTGTGGAATAAAGTAATGCGATGAGTGTGAGGAAGAAAGAAAACGGATGAGATAATTTCACCCTTGGAAGAACAAAGGCTGGTCACACAGACAAGTAATGTATCTCCTGTGGACCACACAGATTTTAACGAACCATAAACCACTCAGTAGGATCCACATTTCTGGAAGCTAGTAGTGTCCTGAATTTTAGCTTTTAGGCTCATCTTTGGGTATTTTTCTAGTAAGGGGCCTACAGGTCTAAGGATGAGGACCACAGAGTGATTGTTTTCTACAGAGTATTTACTCCTTGTCAGTATGGGTTTTGTTGCCTTTTATAGATTGCCAATGAGAGTTTATTCTGTTACAATATGGTTGCTTAGCTTCCTCCCTACTGCAAAAGCACTTTGAGTACATTCCTGGAAAGGCAAATGCAGAATCTGGAGATGGCATCAGCATTTCTGTAGGGAGCATTTGCTGTTGTACAACAGCAGAGATGAACCAGATCAAGTTCTATATGTTTTTCCCTCAGGTGTGTTTTAGGTGTGTTATGGAGGGTGAAGAGCTTTGTCTGTGCTCAGGATAATACAAATGTGGATTTGTATGAGGTCCAACACAGATGGTTCTGGGAAGGTTTATTTCAATACATAGGCTTCTTTAGTACAGTCTTGAGTGCTTCATGAATTTCATGCAATATCAGAGAAGGATGTGGTATGACAAGCAAAGTTATAAGACTAGAAGTGCTTCCTTTGTACTGAAGTAGCTCCTTGTAAACTTCAAGCAGTTCTTTCAGAAGCATGTATTTTTCTCTAGGGGAGCATCCTTTATGTGTACAAATCCCCTTCTTATTGAAGGCTCTCTTTAGAGCAGAGACAAGGGTATCTGATCTTCAGCTATATGTATCTTATACATATTGTATATATAGATGAATACATATATAGAGATATCTCTCTCTATATATGATGTAGATATCTATATATATCTTGATACCTATCATTAAGGTTGTTGAATTAACAGCAGCAGCTGTGTTAGTTGTCAATCTTCTTTATAGGTAGTTAACCTGTACCCTTGTGCGGTTGGATGTATTAAAAAAAGGGACATCATAGAATCAAATTTATAATGGAGATTCAGAAGCAAGGAATCTCCAGTGTCTGTATCTGCAATAACACTATATTCCTCTGATGTTAGGTATGTCACAGGCATAGTCATACAATTTTTAAGAAGTGTTCTTCCGAGCTAGCCCGTGACAAAATTGATGGTGTGGTGCCAGCAGAGACACAACTAGTTACCATTCATCTCAGACTGCAGAAGCTTAACCAAGTGAACAGAACAAAAAAGTTGTCATTCTTTAGCTCAGAGAGAGGTCAAACATGAAGAAAATAGTGATTTGTACAATATTATCTGTCTATCATTATACAAATACTTTACTAAAGACAAATTTGAAACATATATCCAGGGTCACTTCTCTTTAGTCTTATGATAGCAATTACTTTTCACAGCCAAGCTGGTTTCCCTCTTACAGACTCATTTCTACTGATGTGACTACTTGAAATCACACACAGTCACCCCTCTTACTATCTGCCTATCATTATGACAATGAATGAGATCAATACTATATTTCCCTCCATTAAGACATCCCTCTGTCAAACTGAAAACATTGCAGAACCAGCCCACTTTATGGATGCATGTAGGTTGATGGATGCCAAAAGAACAAAGAGTTTGAACGAGTGTCAGCACTACCTATGAGGTAGACAAGTAAGCCAAAAGCTAGCGTATTATATACTTGCCTAAATCATCATCTTTTTTTATCTAGAAAAGAGTACTCTACCAGCTTTTCATGTTTATCTAGGACTTCTTCGTTTCCATCCATTGCTACCTGTCTTATTCCTGTCTCTATAATGACACTCATGCGGTCAGTGATCTGTTTGGTGATCTTCACACTAATCTGTACAGCATTTTCTCTTCTAACCTTATCTTCTCCAGAATCTATCATTTTATGACATGGAAAAAGCAGCCAACAGTGAAGTCCCAGCACAGTGACTAAGAGCACCAATTACATTCCTCAAACAAGGAGCTTCATTGCACTTAGCCTATAGATTTTAAACAGCATCTCACCTTGCCAAACAGAGAGAATAGTTCCCCCCCCACCCCCAGAGAGACAGCAGCTCTGTCCTCAGATATTGGACTACAAACACTAAAAGCCAGGTTAGTCAATATACAAGTTAATATAGTATCATAGTCACTACCAGAAAACATAGTTTAAGAGAAAGCTTTTCCATTTACAGTATTTGACTTGCACCATTGCTGTCAACATGAGATGGAAGAAATTACCTTATCAGGCCTTTGCTGAAGAGCTGGCAGATTCTCCTGCTTGCTTAATGCAAGCTAAACTGTACTTGATCTCCATGGAAACAATAGGAAACAAATATGCTCAGAAAAGAGTGGACAATCTACTAACATGGGAATTATGTTCAGCTTATATCTACATTGTAGACACATTTTAGTGCTAACCAAGTCACAGCTGGGCAATAGCAGGTATAAATCTACATGCTTGCATTGTACACTGCCATTCTTTCGACTTTCCATCTTTCTTCTTGGATCTTAACATCTCTTCAGGAAAGCGTCTACAAACATTAGAACTTATATCTGTATGTCAGCCGAATATCTTCACCTGGCTTCCAAATAAGCTACCTGATCTAAGCCATATCAGGCTTTAGCCGTTCTCCTCCAGCTACACTTCTTACCATGAAGTCTTAATCATGTCTGCCAAGAGAGTTTTCTTACCCAAGACAGGCTGCTGCCTCTCCTCCCCATCTCACTACTGACACTCACAAATCTGAGAAGGGTCTCAGCAGACCTCCTACTAAGTGGTGCCTAGAGGTTGCCCAAAAATCTTCTTAATATCTTATTTGTCAGTACCAACATGTTCTTAGCAGCAGGTGAGTGTCATGGTTTAAAACAACCAGTAACTAAGTACTACACAGCAGCTCATTCACCCCCTACCTCCCTCCCAAGTCAGGATGGGGAGGAGAATCAAAGGAATGTAAAACCCACAAGTTGAGATAAGAACAATTTAAAAACTAAAATAAAGCACAATACTAATATTACTAATCATAATTCTAAAGGAAATAACAAGGGGAGAGATTATAAAACTCAAAAGAGGAAAGAACACTAATAGATACAAGTGATGCACAATGCAACTGCTCACCACCTGCTGACCGATACCCAGCCCAACCCAAACAGCAGTCTGTGCCTTCTTGGTTACTCCCCCCGGTTTATATAGTGGGCATGATGTGCTGTGGTATGAAATACCCCTTTGGTTATTTTGGGTCAGGTGTCCTGTGTCTGCTCCCTCCCAGCTTCTTGTGCCCCTCCTCACTGGCAAAGCATGAGACTGAAAAGCTCTTGATCAGGGTAAGTGCTACTTAGCAACAACAAAAACATCGGTGTGTTATTAGTATTGTTCTCCGGCTAAAACCAAAACATAGCACTGCTCAGCTACTAGAAAGAAAATTAACTATCACAGCCAGAACCAGGACAGAATGTGTTCTGTCATGAGATAGCAAACAGAAACCATGTCTGAGCTTACAGTCCTCACCAATAGATTCCTAATGCCATTCTAAAATGTTTTTAGGGATATCATCTTTCAAGTAATTTTCCTCCTTATCTGAAAGAAGTAGCACCCTAAACCCTACCAGCTAGCTGGGGCAAGTCAGGCAGCATGCAGTAGCCAGTAAGGTATGGAGATCCTTCAATAGTTCTCTCAAAGTCATTGACAACAGGCCATGAAACCATTAGACAATGCAATGCTACTTGCAGCAGTTATTTCTGTGGCTATTTCCTCATTCTGAAGAGCAATAAAGTGCCAGATTAAGCAGGGAAGCTGGCAAATTGAATTGCACTCACCTTTAGAAAAGTCTTTTCACAGTATGCGTACACTGCAAATCCAGCCTATTTGGAACTACTGGTGAAGAAACTTTCTCTACTGCACCAGAAGGGAACTTTACAAACAGACACTCCAAAAATGTGTAGGTAGTAGCACCCATTCTATAAACTTTGGTTACTAAAGATAAAATGTTCTATACTCTAGCCAGTCTAACAAAAAAGACAGCCAACAACTATCAAAATAGCGGCACAGATTGCGTATAAAGCACTGACTTTATGGACAGTTAGTTCTTAGAATATTTTATATATTCCATGGCCTGTAAGAGACTGGTGAGACTAGAAATGCAACAGCTCCTCGCAGAGTTATTAACTTAACTACTTATAAAAAGTAAAATCTAGCAGTGTTTTCCTGTATACAGCAGAACATATCATCAAGGTGTACACACAGTAACAGGTATGCAAGCAACAAACACCTTGTGCATATGTCCCCCATCCTGAGATGCAGTCCTATGCATTTCTTTTCCAGTAGGCTTCCTCTGAAAAAGAAGCGAAGTTACACATTGAAGCCTTGTGCCACTGCAGGGGCCCAGGGCCAGTCAGTCAGTGCAGAAGCCCTGCAACATCTTTTCATCATGTGTACATTTAGAGAAGTTGTCTTTAATGAAGCAAAACTACCTTCATCATCTTTAGGGTACAGCAGTGTAGCACTTGATTCTTCAAGTGATAGGCTCTTACATTGCCTTTTTATTTCCACCACTACCATTAAAACATCTTTTCACAAGTTCAAAATAAATAAAGAAGCCAAGTCACATACAGAAGGTAACATATTCCAAAAAACACCCTTGCTCACCTACATTCAGCTAAAAGCCAAGCTCTTTCCCCAACCAAAGGGAAACAAATTTAGAAAAGACTAACTTCCAAAGACTACCAAGCATTGTCCTGGCTGCAGCTTTTCAGCAGCATAACTACGTCAGATATTCACATACAGAAATACTATGCAGACTGCTGAACAAAAACTTCATGAAACCTTACTGAACATGCAAACTACTTTGACAGCTTAAATAAAACTAACTCCAGACTCTTCATGCATAAGTCTGATGTCTTAAAGTAGTCCCTTTAATTACTAGCTCAAGAGTTTATATAGCCTTGCTGATGACTGACATTAGGTTGAGAGCTCAGCAAGGCAATAAAAATAAAGCATTGCCTGTCCTTAGCAATAAGAGAAAGTAATTTGAGTCTCTTTATAGACTTCATGGCTCAGCAATAAGCACTTCACCATGTCTGATTGTAATTAATACCTCTGATTCTCTGACTAGCAGCAACATGTCATTCAGGTGACTTCACTTGAAAAAAAATCAGTATTTTGTTAGTAAACACCTGTGTAAGAAGGGCTTCTAAGTGCAAGTGGTTATCCTTGATCCTTCATTAAGGAAAAGGTGGTGGAGTTAAGAGAGGGGAAGGCATGGGAGAGAAAGAAAACAAAAACCCACTCCAAAACAAAAAAAAAAAAAGAAAATCAAAACCATCAAACCAAGAAAAAGAACAAAAAAACCAACTCAAAAACTCTGGAACAAATTTTAGGTCTAACATAAGTATTTTTCCAGGAAAAAAAAACAAGGTAATCAGTGATAAGTCTCTCATGTTTACTTGCAAATGGGCTGTATCACAATTTTATGCACCCTGGGGAAATCCTGCTACCTTATTATTCTGCGCTTCACTAACAAAACAGGTATAATAGTACTGCCTTGTCTCATGAGCTTAGTATAAAGATAAATCTGCTTCTAAACGTAGACAGGCTCTGGGAAAGAAAAAAGTAGCACAGAGTGGCATTACGCCAGGCCATTAGAAGATAATGTGGCATTTCCAGTGCGATGGCCAAACACAAATATCCACATGCCCACTGTGTGCTTGACAAGAGTCATGAAAAGACCAGCACAGAAAGATACTTCTCCTGACACTACAGACATGGCATGAAACTGTTCAGATTGTCTGCTACTGCAAACTGTGAGACCCTCACAGATGAACGAGCTAGTTTATATCACCTAATGCCTATTTCCTACTGGGTGGTAAGTAAAATTAAGTGGTCATCTTTCTTCCATTTGGGACCAATATCAGAAGCAGCATCTCAAATCTTCTAATTTGAATGCTAATTATGACATGCCAGTGCAAACCAGAGGCTAGTGTTGAGTCTTATCTCCTCCTAGATGGGCCCATTTGTTTCTCCTCTCCCTTACAAGTCTATGGAAGTCACATTTGGATCTGCATTCTCAGAAGATGGGGAGCCAACATTCATAATTAAAAGTACAAGGGAAATATAGGGCAATGTTAGATTAGCCTTTTAGTGATCTTAGATAAAAGAAAGAATACACATTTCACAGTGAATTACATCATAAAGTGACTTATATGGAACCAGATCCCCATCTTACTTTCAACAGCAAAAGAAAGTTACTTTAGAGATCTGACAATATTCTTCTCCCCTTCTGAAAGTGAGAGGACTTTTTTTAGTAGTATTATTTTTATTAGTATTATTTTTATTTAGAAATGAGTCAGCAAAGATGAGGAGGAAATGAGCAGTCAGGAGAAAGGTCTTAACCTCCGACACTGAGAGCATTCTTAAGAGTCTTTGTAAGTTATATCCTCCTATTGTCACTATCCATTTAAATGATTATGCATGATGAAATGGAACAGAAGAAAGCAGGGCTTGAGAAGGGACTGTATGCCAGCAGGTGAGTTTTTTTCCCAGTTCAACAATCCAGGTAGCTGGAGAGCAACTATGACCAATTAACCAGAGCAGTTAAGTCTCCTTAAAAGCATTATGGCCTCCCACCCATTGAATACAGACCCTTCCACATGCAGCTGGTTGCCCAGGATTAAAGTACAAATCTAAATCAGCACAAAAGTGTCTCTGCTGTTTCATAATACAGAGCCTGCCATCCTACAAGGGCACACTAGGAGCTGGATACAGTCCAGCACAGCAAGTGCTGTGCATGCACACCCAAGCACTAAGGAGCTTACATACAGAGGGAATACCAGGGAAGCTGGTCGGCTGTAATGTCACTGTTGCATGCCTAGAAATACGATCCCACCAAAACGGAGGTGACATGGCAGACAGGAATATTTAAGTAAGTACCTAATTTGTGTGCTGAATCTTACACAGGTTCCTAACCTCTGGAACATCGTTATTTTCCATGTTTTCCCACATCTTTCTAATGTAAAAGACCCATGAAGATTTTAAAACGCACCTGTACCTCTCTCCACTCTAGTCCTATTTGAGCCACATCACAGAAACCTGTCAGAGGCCAAACCCAGTGCTCAGTCACACGCCAGCCCACATGCACCCTTATTTAAGAAAAAGACTGCAATTTGTGGCAGCCTGCCCTCCTGGGCTGCGTCAGTGCCTGACTCACCCTGAATACACAAATCCTCCCCCCTCCCGCTGATCCCCCAGCCTGTGCTTTTAGTCAGCAGACGTTAATTCAGCAAGACATTCACACAAAAGATGATGCCTATATCCCCACAGCCAGCCTCCGGGCCAGGTTTCAGTGGCACTCCCTGCCTCCAGGCTCTCTGTGCACTGTGAGGCTCTGCTTCCAGTCCTGCAGTGGTTCCTGCCCTCCCTGCTCCCATTTTTGGTAGCTCCAAAGATCCATCATGGGTCATCCCTGCCAGTGTGCATGGAAATGGGTAGGGGTCCTATCAAGCGAGCTCAGAACAGGGGATACACTTGCTAGGGCCATCCAGGCCCTGACACATGCAGCACAAGTGCTGCAGCAGGAGCAAGGGCACCATGCAAGAAGCAGGGCATAGGGAGGGGGGGTGTGTCAGAGGTTCAGGAAGAAGGCTGGGAAATGAAATGCAAAGAGATTAACTAATTTAACAAAAAACACACAGGACATCTGCAACAGACCTGGAGGCAACACCTGTATCCCAGAGCCTGACTGTAACATCCTGCATCCTTTGGAGGAAGCAAGCAGTGCCCACAGTGGCAGGTTTGGGATCATCACCAAAAAGAGAGCAATGCCAGCCTTTCTCATCCGCAGATCATCAACTTATTCTGCTGGTAATCATCTTGACCTGCAGAGCCATTCTGTGTTAGTGATCAGTGTGCTATAGCCTCAGAGACATTTTGGCACAAAACAGCACCTTTTACGTGGATCTTTCAAAACCTAGCATCAAACATAACAAAAAGTAATTGTCATGTCATTACATGGAACTTGGTGTTTGTGTTCAAAAGGCATATAATGCTATCCCTGAGAGATTTTTTTGGAGGCACTTTAATGCTTCTTAATCTTTTTTTACTTTCCGTTTATAAAAGTTACCATTGATCTTCAAAACAATTAAACATATGTTTCTGGTACTTATTTGAATTGACAATATATCTTGGATTTTCAGTGGTTCTGGGCAAAGGAATCAGCACATCTATGAATAAACCAGCCTAAGTTTGAAGTCCTGTTTCCTATCACATGTCTGATTCACTAGCAAATTACTTCAGAGGATAGGAGCTTAATTTCTGCTCACACGAAGTCATAAGTATTCTGAAGTCATAAGGAATGCCTTTATTCCTGTTGCCCGTTTAAAAAGTCAGAATGTATTCCACTGCATAAAAATGATCTATACTTGCAGCTTAAGAAAACAGTTCTTGAAATAAAGCTAAATTAGGTTTAACCATCCCTCACACATCCCAGCCTGAAGGAGCACCCCAGCAACAACCTTTCACATCTTGCAAACATTTGCTACTAATTATGGGTTCTTAGAGCAATAACACACAGCTCTATGTTTCAAGGAAAGAGGCCAAAAGCAGCCTCAAAATTAAGCCTTAGCTTTTAATTTAAACCAGTGCCATACAAATTCTCAAATATACATTTGCAAAAGCTTCCCAAAACACTGCTCTGATTAATGGCTCTGAAAACTTGTAAAAAAGCTCAGCTGTCAAGCATTAAAATGTAGGCTGAGAGAAAGCTCATGTAGAACAGCTAAATAAAAATCTACTGAAACAGCTTTTCCCTATACCTTAAGAGTAGCACAATACAGCAACACACAGCGAAACTCCAAAGAGCCACAGGGCTCACTCTGTACCAGTTCAAGGGCTCCCATACCTGCTTCCAGCAAGTTATTCATGCCACACAAGCTTTCCCTCATCTCTTACACATCAGCCAGTGTTCCCTCATCTACTTTCATTTCCAAACACACAGTCTTCTCTAATCTAAAAGCTCCCCTATTACCGCTTGAGCTACTTTTAGCCTTCAAGTGCTCTTGAATTTCCCTTGACCTGAAGCAGGAGCCAGAAAGAAGCAGGCACAGAAGAAACACTACCCTTTCCAGATTCCTCTTGTTTTTATTCTCAGATCTCACCTTAACAAGCAGCCAAGCCATACTCCAGCTTATGTGCTTCAGGTGACAGCGCTTGAGCAGGGAGCATTGGACAAGATGACCTCCTGATGCCCATCCCAACCTCAACCCTTCTGTGATTGACATTCATTGTGCTTACAAAAGAAATCTAGCATGGATAAGTCTTTCCTGGGAAGTGGTGCTGGGTACTCTCAGACATAGCTGACATGTGAGGATGTCAGCTGGAACCCTGAAGGCTGGAACCCTTCTAGCAAGACTCTGGAAGATACAACATCTGTCCAAGATGAACTTGGGTCTTAAGGCAGAGTATCAGCTGGTAGGGATGTCTGTAGCTAAGAAAATGAGAGGCTGGGGTTTGGTTTTGGTTTTTAATTTCCTGCTCTTCTCACTTCATAAAATTTACCATTTCCTAGATAATTTTTAGTGATTCAAACCTGTGTCTACAACCTCCGTGATACCTTTTTAATTTTCTTCATGAAAGGGTAAGGAAGTTGTTACAAAACAATTTTATTTGTTATTAATGCAAGAATTGCATTGGCTTAGAAACTTAAAATCTAATACAACAGCAGAATGATAGAAATGAATAAAGACACTAGACTACTGGCATTGACTCTAAAATGCTCAATTATTTAAGTTATAGCAGCATTTCTTCTACTCGCA